TTTAACACTGCATGTGGGATATATAGCCCATTCAGGCCTGAGGATACAGACGAAGTAGAGAAAAGTCCCAGCGGGTAAAAGATTGAAGGACTGATATATATATTAAAGCAAATTAAACGTGTTTTTTTCACTAGGCTGTGATTTAACCCACATTGTTAATTCTGGTATAGAGACAAAATTATTGAAAATGTTCTTTCTTTCAGCAGTGATAATAAATATTTTATAAAGACATTGTACTTCTGCAAATAAATAAATTTCATTACATTACTGCATTAGACCTAAGACTGATGCTGATAATATAATCCTACTTGGTTTTTGTTTAACTACTATGACCAACTACTGTGATCTTTTGCACTGATTGGTTGCAGATTTCTACAGTTGGACTTCAGATCTGTGGCCCATACTTGACCTTTAAGTTGCATACCATGTTAAATGGTATTTGATTGGTGTTTCTCTCAATTTTTTCCTCCACTTTTTCCAAAATAAGAATGCCAAATTAATCCAAACTAAGGCTACATTCACACTGTAAGCCACATTGTTCAATTCCGATTTTTTGCTCAGATCGGATTTGTCTATCTTGACGGTTCACATTCATAAGTACAAGTGACCTGTATCTGACTGTAATGTGAACGCAGCGGTACCCCGAAACGTCACTCATGCGCACATTGATATGTTTTTACACGGGTAAAAAGCTGGTCATAAAATTGGCACATTGTGCGGCCATGACCGCTGCGCTGCTTCGAGTCTTTTGCCTCTTTAAACTTTGACTTCAGGCTCTTTATTTTTCTTTGGCATTCCTAGTGCGCACTTCAAAGTGTACACTTCCTAGTGCGCACTTCATAGTGCGCACTTCGTAGTGTGCACTTCGTGGTGTACGAAGTGTACACTTCGTAGTGTGCACTTTGTAGTGCGCAGTTCATAGTGTACACTTCGTAGTGCGCACTTCGAAGTGTGCACTTCATAGTGCGCACTTCGTAGTGTCCGAAATGTACACTTCGTAGTGTACACTTCGTAGTGTACACTTCGTAGTGTACACTTCCCACACTACGAAGTGCGCACCGGAAAGGGCATACTCAGTCCTTTCCAGTTGTGTGCACTTGATAGGGCATACTCAGTCCCTCATAGTGTACTTCGTAGTGCGCACTCTAATCCAACTGTAACCCTACCGAGTATGCCCTGTCGAGTGCACACAACAAAGTGTACACTTTGTAGTGTGTATTTAACTACCTCATGTCACTCAGGTGGACCACAGTCATCAATGATGAGATATTTACCTATTTCATTAAATGATTTAAAAAATAATACTTCAATATAATAAAAGAACAGTATAGCAACATGTACTCTACGGGCAAGAAACATTCAGCAAACAACACAATGTTTTAAGCAGCAGGCAGGCATTCTTTAACCACAGGACTTGTTCACCATGTCATATTAGCCAAACAGTCTTTAGTCCTGACAAACTGCAACTACATTTTTCCATGAGACGTTTCCACAAAATGGTCATATTTAAAATGCCTTCAGAAATTCATCACACACTGTCTGATATTACATTACAGTTCATAAAAATGCCTGGGGTGAACCTAAAACAAAGGAAGATGACACTTCAGGATTCTAATACACGTATCACTTAATTTCAGAGTACCGCAATTCACTACATAGCTTCTACTGCAAGAATCCTACACCAACATGCCAATTAAAATCAGGCTCAGCCGACACTTCTAGCTGCAGAAAAAAAATACAATTGTGACCAATTTAAATTCGGCCTCAGTGTCTGCCTTTTAAAACGCAACACTTTATTCCCAATATATTTGTCTAAATACAAATAGATTTCAAAATGTGCCGATTTGTTGAGCAACACATGATCTGTCTATACATACCGGCTACTGGTTTGTTCCGCTGATATAATCATGTTACCTTGTTAGCTTTAACATGTGGTGACATTTCAGTGCAATGTTTTAAAATACTCTGATTGGTGACTACAGTAACTCAGTAACTCAGAACAAATGTAATCACTACTTAAAATTAGGCTACTTAAAATTTTGATAAACCGCATCATTTTCATTATTAGCGTGAAATAAAGTCCAGCCCCTCCAAGAGTTTGGATCTGGAGCCTAAACCGTGTGTTAAGGTGAGGTTGAATATATCACACCGATATCGCTCTACCTCCTGCACCAGCTTAAATTATGTTGCACGTGCCAAGAATCAGGTTTTGTAACCAACAGTTGGTCCACCTAGGCCAGGGGTGTCAAACTGCAGTCCTGGGGGGCCAGAGCCCTGTGTAGCTTAGTTCTTTCCCTGTTCCACCACAAATGATTCAGCTCAAGAGCTGTGTGGCAATTAGCACAAGGAGTTGAATCAGGTGTGTTAAATGAGGGGAAACCCAAAAATGTGCAGGGCTCCGGCCCCCCAGGACTGGAGTCTGACACCTGTGACCTAGGCCCTTGCCTTCGACTGCCACTGATCTCCATTGTACCTCACCCCCACGGCGCCCCCTGCTGGTGGTGGGCCCACAGAAGGGCAGACCTATATTATTCCTTCAGGCTATGCCCAGCCAGACCCCATGCATGGAGACCTGGCCACCTGGGCCGGTATGCATAAAACCTCTCAGAGTAAAATTTCACTCTTAAATGCGTCACAGTTCTAAGAGAGACGTGATTTTGCTCATACTCCCGGACTTAAGAATAAGTGGCATGCATAAACATTCTTAAGTGTTAAGACTTGGTCTCAGCTCCTAACTTATATAAGAGAGCTGGAGAGGAGTCCTAAGCCAGTTAGGAGTTGAATGATGGCAGCTGCACTACGCGCACGAAGACGGAGACCGCGCACTTTCCGTCAAAGAAAGGACGTACTGTGGATTTACGATGATGACGAGTTGATAAAAAGATACAGGCTTGATCGTGAAGGCATTATTTTTGTTACCGACCTAATTAGAACCGGATACAATCTCCTACGTCACCTAAAAATGCACTTACAGTTGAATTGAAGGTGATAATGATAAGAATCAGGTTTTTGGCAACTGGAAAAATATAATAATAATTATTATTATTATTATCATCATCATCATCATCATCTATTATAGCGAGGGTCATAAGTAATGACACAAACCTGTAGCTTGCATGCTTGCTTTATAAACTGTGATTTCCTTTCGCGAGGTCGATAGAACATTATACCATCTTTTTTCACATTCCTCTGCTGAACGCCTTGTCCGAGCCTCCTAAGCTTTTTTGTCCGTGCTTATAACAGCTGGGCCAAATTTTCGTCACACTACCTCCTTCCATTTAAGCACCAACTGTGCCAAAAGAACCGTTTTGTTTGTCGTCCAGTTTGGTTTTCTTTTAGGATCCAATGTCTTGCTATGAGTTCTGCGTTTGACCCATAATTTACTACATGTGCATCTATTAGTGGAAATTGATTGGTGATGTGCTAGGTAGATTTTCGTATAACCAATTAAAGGTATGATCACAGAAAGGTATGTTGTATAAAGCTCTACATTAACGGTTTAATGTCACTAATATATTTACCGTGCAGCTTCTCTATTGGTTGAACTCAGTATTTAAGGCGGGATTTTATTTGTAGTCCTCATTTCACAACACTTAAATGCTGGCTCCGACAGCACTGAGGAATTGGGCTTAGACTTCGCTGAAAGTTACTTTCAGCAGCTTTATGCAATGCTCTTAGGTCCTACTTTTTGCTAAGATTTTTCTAACTCTTAAGTCAAAGTGTACGACCATTCTTAAGACCATTCTTAGGAAGTTTTATGCATACCGGCCCTGGTCCTCGCTTACAAGGTGCCCCTTGACATGATGAGTGGGGACCTCAGTTTTATTTCCAAGGTGGATTTTGTGATTTTACTATGAATCTCTTGAAAATCTTATTTTTTCAAGCTTTATTTTGCTAGATAGTTTTGTGGGTTTTGTATATGCTCCTGTGAGAAAACTGAGGGAAACTGACCAATATTTGACCTTCTGGCGCCTACTGTCAGTCAGACACCCTTATGGTGCTTTTTCATGCTATACAGGAACCAAGCCGTACTGGAGCCGTAGCACAGAGAGAGAGATAGTTAGTGTATGGTTCCAGCTGGCTGTTTGTAGAGCAGTGACATAAAAGTGAGGTAAGGAGAACATGCTGATTACAGCATATTGCTGCACCCACCTCACAAGAAACCACCTCATGGATGAGAACCTGAGTGCAGCGTGTGATACCTCACACCACACCAGACAAGAGCAGACCAGACCAGTGTGAGTTTTGTTCCAGGGACTGAAGTGCCAATCCAGCCACCAAATTTCCCTGTAAGCTGGAGGATCCGCCTGCAGATTAACATCACACCCAGAAAAAAGCAATTGCAGGTTAAGGACTTTGCTCAAGGGCCCAATGGAACAGGATCACTTACAGCATTCACAGGATTTAAACCAGCAACCTTCCGATTACCAGAACAGATCACTAGCCTCAGAGCCACCAACCCACCCTCAGAAACCCAGCTGTAAGCATCATTGTCAAGGGTGGCATGTAATTCAATATAAATTTATGTTATTGTACAGTCTTTGAAATTGTAAAATGTTTGGACAGTTTGAGAACCCTGTATAAAATTAGACTACGTGGAGGAAAGGGCCACACCAAGATCATCCATCAAGCAGGACGAAAGCTCACACCACAGAGTGTAACTCTAAATGGATCAGTGGTCTTGGACTGTCCATCTTCCTCTTGATCAGGGGATAATGTGGATACTTTTGATTTGGAAACCACTCCTAAGATAGCGATGGGTTCCAGGAGGCCAGAGCCCTCCGCTGAACCTGACAATGAAGGTGTCTGTCCACAGGATCGCCTGCTCCCTTCTGTCGGTGAGAGGCCTCCCATAGCAGCCCATGTCCGGGGACTATCCTGGAAGCTATGGGCGCAAGGCAGAGAATAACCCAGGATGGGGCCCAATTCATCAGAGGACAATCATACATTATATCACATTAAAATTCTAGATTACATCTTAATTATTGCTTAATTTCGTCAAAATAATCTATTCCGCATTGCATTTTTAATTCAGTAAAAAAATCACGATTTGGCAAGCTTAAACCGATATTTGTGTATTACTCAGAAAGAGTTAAGTTTTCAAACAGCAATAATCGCACCTCGGTTGAACCTCATAGGCTACAATCTTGCCACTGCGCAAAGTGCATTGTGAGGGAGCATCAGTTACAGCACAACGGCCATGTAGCGCATTTCCCTGAGGGTGATGCTGAGGGTGATCCGGCTCAGAGGATCCTCAATGCTGAGGACCCAAGTGGCTGGACCAGGCCAAGGGGACACTCATGTAACACGTGACTGCAGAGTAGCAGCAGTAAAAGAATTACCCTGTGTT